ATGGTCGGAGGCATAGCTCAGTGGTAGAGCATTCGACTGCAGATCGAGAGGTCCCCGGTTCGAGCCCGGGTGTCTCCTGATTTTCACCTCATATTGTTCAGTGTCTGAAGATTTGGTCAGATCGAACCCTGTGCTACAAATTTACACCGGTTACGGTCTCACAACTTGTAACTTACATCGGATACGAGTTGTGTTGTTAGACGATAATTGACAGGAATTGAGAACGCGCATGCGTGTGCGGATATTGGATGGATGAGTGGATATGTTTCATTCTGGATTCTTATGAGGGCGTTGTGTACTACTGGCTAGAGTGACAGTTATCATTGTAAATTTGGTCAACTTGATACATTGATTCAGTTGCAGATATTAGGCATCAGCTTGATGAAACAAAGTGATGAGCAAATTTGATGTTTTTTTTCAGGTTGACATTATATCCTTGTCATTATTTTTCCGAATTTGATTATCAGAATCTCCAACCTCTCTTCTCTCGAAGGTATCACACAATCTTTTCTTATCGCCCATCAATTTTTGGGGTACGTTGCATTTGATAATTCTTTTTTGACTGTATTTTTGTGTTATTTCACCTTTCTTTCGTTTTCCCAATATTTGCTGCTTATTCTAATGTATGTTTGTATGCGGTTGAATATATGCTGTTATTAACGCTTGTATTTGGCTTCATTTTGTTTTACTGCAGAGTCGATTTCTTTAAGTCGTCTTCATTCGCGAGTATCCCACAATCATATGTTCTCTGTACCATATCGCGGTGTCTGTATTCATCCCCACATTCCTCAGACCTACGATCTCACGGGGCAAAATTCAGGGCGAATGTAAGATGTTGTTGAAAACATGCTTTGTTTAGTGTTTTGCTCTTTAAACATCAAACCAGACTTCAACGGACACGGCTGCGATGTAACTGTGACTTTCACGGCAATATTACACTGTAAAATCAGAAAACAGAATGTTGGGGTTATATTGATTAAGGTTTATTCCGCAACATGGTGCTGTGTTTCTGCATTGATGTTCTAAGGTTAACGTTAACGGTTTGCATGAAACTTACATTCAAATGTGGGCACAGATGGGCACTGCAACACTCGCTTTGCGAAGTTATGAAATTGTGAAGCTACTGAAGGCAGTCTCACTATAGATAGTCGTATATTTCGTAAAATCCCTTTGAGTCGTAGAACACGAAATGCAGCAAACATGTTTTCGATAAAATCTCATCAGGCTGTTACGGTTGTAAAGGAAAGTACAACTAAAATCGGTTTCATGCGGAACTTCGTATTGGTCTAAAATTCACACCGTCTCACTTTTGCGTTTTTGGACGCCAATTGGTTGTTAACTGCCTCTATATCGATCGGATGAGTCAGCTAATGACCAAGGCAATTGACGCGATTGAACAGAGTTTTTCTGTTCACACAAGGTTGGCTTACGTAATCGAATGGCAATAGACTCGGCAATGGTCAACATTCGCTAGCGAACGAGTTTTGACCTGTTCGGTGGAATCCTGTAAATAACAGTGAACGATCGATCTGTGTTGACCTGATGATCGCTGTCAACCAGATGACCTACAATAACACTCGTGATTGATTTTCTCTCATCTGTCCTGTTCCATGTTGGATGATGTTCTCTGATCTGGGTTGTATTTTCCTTTATAACTGAACAGCCTGATGAGATTTTATCGAATACATAGTTGTATATAGTTGGAGGTGGTTATCTTGCTGGAAGTATTATGTAGCAAACAGTTATTTGTTAGTCCCGGTTTAAGTATATATACCAGTATTCACCTGATGCAGCGGAAGTCACTTGTAGTGCGTGTTATGAGCAGCGTTCTTTGGCTTTGGTGCCTGTGACATTTTATCCCGAAACGGACGCCGCCAAGCGTTTTGAAATGTGGAAGTGTGTTTATAAAGGTAGGAACGAAGACTCTGTGAGCGACCATGTGTAGGTGTGGGCAGTGGTGTGATGTTCCGCGTGCGAGTTTGAGATAACTCCAACATAACTACAAAGTAAATGAGATCAATAAATGGAAACACTTACCACGGAAGGCACTGCTGGATTGGTCCTTGTGGATACCTAAATAATGTTTTATTCTAAGTCAACATCATTGTTCGTCTGATACTCAGCCCATTTCAACAGCTCGTCCACCGGCAGTTCACGTGTCTACCACATCCATCAACACTAAACATTATGGCTCACGTGCTATTAACACGGTCCCTGAACGTGTATTTCAGTATGCCCCAGTAGCCAGATGTCTTAAGGACAGAGAAGGATCGCATACGTCTTTCAGATTATTCATTTTCATGTCAGAAATTTCTAGCCAAATAAGTAGTGAGATTTTTTGAATAACATGCGGCAAAATCTGAATCCTAATGAAACCCATACGGTTAAACACAATTTAGGTTTACGTAACGGACGTAAACGGAAGGTGCATTGACCTCCATCGAAACGCAGTGACTGTCAAAGTATATAGCTCGGTTGAGAAGGATACCCATAATTGGGGACAGCGGTTACTGAAGACAATTGCTAGATCACGTACGTTTATTTCAATCTACTCTCTCATGCAACTCTTATCAGCATATAACACTGGTTAATCGAATGACGCCCATTTTTTCTCACGCAGAAATACACCCTGGGTATCGTATGTTGACAAGGACTTATTTTCCTTCTAGAAAGTCTGGGCAAACACTGGGATTGTCACACTAGCGATCGATAACACAAGCACCGTTTTGGTCAACGTTGCATTTGTCAGCAACCAGTTCCAAATAAAGCATCTTAACACGTCTCTAACAAAAGTTCAAAGAAACTTAGTCTACAGAAAGTGGCGGTTTGGTAAACCAAGCAAATTAACAGGATAAAGTGGGTCACATTGCTTCTCAAAGAAGCAAGTGCGGTAGTACTGAGGGTGAACGGAACATAAAGCATATCTCAGTGAACAGTCAGCGCGCTGAACCACCTCCTCATGGTGTCCACTGGGCGGTCCGTGTGCAAACCTTGACTAAAATAGATTTCAGCAACTCCAGATAGGACCAACCACTCTACCTGGTTCTAATGTACTGGTTACATTCGATCAAGACAATACAATTACCGCTAGCCCCTCTCTACATGTATCTGCCAGTGCACAGGATAAGCAAACGGATTACATTTGTTCGAATTGTGATCAGATTTGCATATCCAACGCTGGCTTATCGGCGCATCAACGCAGCCTGTCACAATCTTTGACTGCGCCCACTGTGACCACAGCTTTCTCACTCAAATTTGTCTCAGCCAACATGGAAAGCATGCACATTCCGTCAAACGCAACCGTGACAAACTCATGTCCATGAAAACCGTCGGATCCAATTGGTCTCGCCAAGAATCGGCTTCTCTTATGAGATGTGCCGATGCACTGGCGCCGTCATGCCTCATTCAACGTGAACTCCATCATCGGCTCCTGCCACATTTCTCAGGTCGTACTGTAGAGAACATTCGGACGCGTCTGTGTGCGCTAAATTAGCAAAGGAATACTGTTCCCACTGCCGATCTAACCATCGTCTCACAAACTGACATGACATCGGATATTGGGTTCCAAGCTGCTTATCATTCCCAGTGGTTTACTTGTTTGATCCAAGCATCGATTACCCAACTGGAGTCTAATCGCGAATCTTTTCTTTTACACAGCGATGAATTACTAGCTATTGTCCGCTGTCTTCAGGCAGGCATTTTCATAACGGTACACGCTAAGTCTCCGCTGAACATGCACGCCTCACGAGCTTTTCCGCACACTTGGCGACTGATCACGACGGTGTGGTTCTGTGAACGTGGAAACCTACGCGATCCGGCCAGCATAAGAAAGATGACGAGTTTGCAATTTTTCTGCAAACTGGAGAACTGCCTACAAGATGAACCGCGGCCCCTCAGATAATTCCGATGAATACTGTTTCGAGGTACTATCGGCTTATCCGCACGTTGGTGAGCGACCACTTCGCACATGTCTGCCTAGGAATTGGCCTCTTATCGACCAGATCCATGGAGAAGTATCGCGCACGTTGAGAAACATGGAAAACACCACTCCTGGCTCGGATAAATCGTTGCCCAAACATTGGAATCGCATGAAAGCTGATGCCTTGGCCGGATATTTCAACCTTTTCCTGCCTAACTAAGGTTGTCCTATCCACTCATGCCGCTCCCGCATCACGATTGTACCCAAAGTGAACAGTCCTTCATCTCCCATCGAGCTCATACCAATCGTCGAATCTCCACCGTTGATACGTAGTTTTCACAAGATTTTAGGCGATCGTAGAAATACGCGCATGCAATTGCCCACTCTACAGTTTGCATTCCTACACCGTGACGGTAGCTTCGAGGCGACCTCACTGCTTCATGCGCTGCCTCGGAAATCATGCACCATATCTTCAAGTCTGTGTGCTGCTTTTATCGATGTGTCTAGGTCGTTTGATTCTATCTCACAGGATTCGATTATCAGATCGGCCCGAGCCTTCAGTGCTCCCCCGCCTCAGACGCATCACAACGCCGACTCCTACCGGAGTGCTTTCACGACGCTCAGTGGTTCTGTTCTCCGATCCCAACGTCGTGTTTGCTAGAGCGACCCACTATCCTCACTTCTATCCATCGTTGAAATGGATGAGGTGCTGGCACTATCTCGACCAGAGCTTTGCTATCAGTTCCACGATACACTGGTGAACGGTTTCGCCTACGCAGACGATATGATCCTTCTGGCTAAGAATCCTACGCGGTTGTCGGAGAAGCTTGCGGCTGCCGCTAATGCCTTGGAACTATCCAGGCTGAAGATCAACATGCACAACGCTAAGCTCATGGTCACCCGTAGTGACCATAAACACCATGTAACCGCTATCTCTAACGAGTCTATTCACTTCGACCCGGATATTATCCACTTCACTAAACGTCTCTGACATGGTGACCTATCTCAGTATTCCGTTCATTCGGAAAGACGAAGCATTCAATAGTCGCCGTCTGCAGGTTCGCATTATGCTAGATGAGACCACCAAAGCGCATTTGGAGTCAAAACAACGCCTTTAATTCTTGAGACATCTGATCTCGAAGATTAATCACTCGTTAGT